GAAAAGAGACGAGGAAAAGCATCAGATTTGTTGAACAGACATCAATATAAAATGCTAAACCAAATATAACAAATGATTTCAGTCACGGCCACAGACCAAGAAACGACAGTTTCAACACCGACCACCATACGAGTCAGACTGAAGGTCCCACCATCACTGTGGATCCTACTGCTGCAGAGTCAGAGGCTCAACGTAAGAGTAAGCAATGCCTTCTAAGAACCATGGACATCGTTATTTAGGCTTTAAAGCTAAGCCGCTATTCCAATGTTTACTTTTCCTCTCATTCTGTTGTTTTTGACTTTTCCAGGACAGGGTCACAAATCGTGGGGTTCAACAGTGAGCAATGACAGCATGGTCGACACGGGGCTGGATTCTCCCACTGCCAGCACAAGTGAGTCACAAATTTGTTGTGATGAACAGTTTGACAGCAACCTGAAGATTTCTTCTTCACTGTTCCACTAGCAAACCAATAAGCCCTTTGAAAGTTCGTTTTCTGTGTGCTGACTTATAAACATCTAGTGTTACAAAGGATAAAGGTAAATAACATTTTTGTAAAAATCTGTTAAACTTTTAGGTGACATTTCCAAAATGGCTCGAACGTCCTCGACCGGAACGATGTCGTCTGATGAGGAGGCGGATGAGAAAGACGAGAAAGATGGAAACGTTTCATCGTTCGAGACTCCAAGTACGTTTTAGCACAGGCTCGTCCGTCCACCGCGCTTTCTGTGGCTGACTTCTCCTGTTCTCTGTGTGACGACGGTTCTGTGCAGATATCAACGGCATGGATCCAGACGTGGCGGTCTCCACCAGACCTTTCCGGAACATCGGCCTGTCCAAAGCGGCCCAGACCCACAAGCTGAGGAAGCTGAGGACTCCTGCCAAGTGTCGGGAATGTGACAGCTACGTTTACTTCCAGGGGGCCGAGTGCGAGGAAGTGAGTCCTTCATCAGGACTTTATTTATTTATTTGCAATTTATTTTGCGCTGTACAACTATATTTTCTGAGGAGTTGTTCTTTTAGACTTTATTTGTCAAATCAATAAGGTAATCTGTGTTGATTTCTCAAACATTTTTGGGGAAAAGTGACAGTCTATTAATGGCATTATGCTTTTAACTTCTGTAAATGATGTATTTTTATAAAATGCTCAGTTCTTAAACTTAACGGGAGACAAAAGGTGTCGAGGGGCCACACAATAAAATCCTTCTCATTGTCTTATAGCTCAAGTTAATTAAATGTAATTTAAATATCAAATAAACAAATATATATTATCATCATTGACGAGATACATGTAGAGACATTGAAGACCTACATTAATGCCAAATTTGTTTCAGTGCCAAAGTTATATAAGCTTGTAAATTAATGATTAAAAGTTTTGATGCATTTGATCAACGTTAAAAAATAAAGCATAAAGATATGCCTCAGTTATTGTTTTTCCCATTGAGTAAATGGATTCAGTTTAAACATGAGCCATTTCTAAAATATTCAGACAATATTGTACAGCAGTGACAGCGATGTTTACTTTAATATTTTTCATACATCACCATCAGGCTTATGATGGAGAGCTCTGAATGAGCATGCATATGCTTCCAGTTTTAGAAATTATAAGTAGAAGCACTTCTGGTTTTGTCTGCACTTCTATTCATTGTGTGCCTTCACGGTAAAAAACCAAAACTTTCAGGCTAATTTTTCTATCCCCTCCCAGTGTTTCCTGTCGTGTCACAAGCGTTGCCTGGAGACCCTCGCCATCCAGTGTGGCCATAAGAAGCTGCAGGGCCGCCTGCAGCTGTTTGGCCGGGACTTCACCCATGTGGCGAGCTGCGCCAGCGACGGCATCCCCTTCATCATCACAAAGTGCATTTCTGAGATCGAGAGACGCGCCCTCAAGATGAAGGTGAGGAGGCTCCCAATCCCTCCGTTCGAGACGTTTGGGCCGGCGTCAAAGTGTCGGCCGTGAACCGCTGCTTCCTCTTGGCAGGGCATCTATAGGGTGAACGGCGTGAAGACCCGCGTGGAGAAACTCTGTCAGGCCTTCGAAAACGGCAAGGAGCTGGTGGAGCTGTCTCAGTGTTCACCGCACGACATCAGCAACGTCCTCAAGCTTTACCTCAGACAGGTACGCGAAGCATCCTGGAACAAGTTCCCACACTTCATCACTTCTTCTAGTCTCTCATAGTTTGATTGTGTTTACCGGAGGTAAAATGGTAAGACATTAGATCCATAAGGTCACTGAATATTTGACCTTAGGGTTAGGAGTTGGGGTAAAATTTGTGTCTATATTATTCGCCTGGATTGGCCAGAAGTCTGTCAATTTTTTAAAATGGATAATAAAGTGCAATTTTTAAACCTCTAAGCTAAACTTGGGTATAGATATGTTTTGCATAAATCTCCACTCTTGCTTGTATTCCAGTGCAGGAACCTCAAGAAACTGTTAAAACCGAGAGCTTGGCCCTCAGTTTGCCTTGTATTTAGTTTCAGTCGTCTTCGTTTCCATGTTATCTGAGTTCTGTGCATCTGTTTCCTGTTGCCTCCAGCTGCCGGAGCCCATCATGCCTTTCCGTCTGTACAACACACTGATGGGTCTGGCCAAGGAGAGTTTGCACAGCGAGGGAGACGCGCCCGAGGGAGAGGAGGCCGAATCGAGCAGCACCAACCCAGTAGTGGTCCGGGGGCCCGAGCTGGTGGACCTGGGGCCCGACTCTGACCCGGAAGTCCTTGTTTTGGTGGACAGTCTGAAAGAGCTGGTGAAGGAGCTGCCCAAGCCCAACTCTGCTACGTTGCGGTACATCGTTCGTCACCTTCGAAGGTCAGCTGGCAACTAAGGCTTCAACTAATGATTATTTCCATTCTCAATTAATCTATCGATTATTTTGATAATTAAAATTTGCTTTCCACATTCTGCAGATTTTTTGTTTTAGCCTTTTATTTATACATTAAAAAATGCTATTAAATAATTCAGTTCCTTTTATTAAATTATTAAAAACTAAGTTTCTGTTGATCCAGGATTGCAGAGCTGGAGGAGGACAACAAGATGAGCCCCAGCAACTTGGGTATTGTGTTTGGGCCCTCCCTGATGCGTCCCCGTCCCACAGGGGCCACGATATCCCTGTCCTCTCTGGTGGACTACCCTCACCAGGCCCGCATTGTGGAGGCCCTCATCGTCTTCTATTCTTCAATATTCCAATCGAAAACTTCCCAGACCAACAAAAACGCGCGCTCAACATCTACGCAGCAGGTGGGTGCTGGGAAATATGTGTTTAAATATTTTATCAGTGAAATTAGTTTTTGTTTGTATGAATTACTTGGTCTTTAAATATAATTTTGTTCATAGAGGTACAATATTTTACCAGTTTATCAATTTCTGCCTCTTTGAAGACATTCGTGGTGCGGCTGGAAATGAAAATGATCCATTTTTATTTACTTGCTCTAAGGAGCACAGAAAGTTAATCAACCTTACATCCGTTGTAAGCGTCAATTTTCCATTTGAAATGCATATAAACATGGTTGGAAACCCTCGTAAATCCCAGTTACTGTTCAGCTGAAACTATTTTAAGATGGTCTCATGTGATAAAATGTGTTAAATAAGGAGATAAGCAAATCTCTCAAACATCCCCGCATCACCTCACTCATTCAGGAAAGTGTTGGAGATAAGATGGAAAGCACTGGAGATGGAGAAGAGGATGGAAGCAAAGACGACCAGAACAAGCCAGACTCAGACAGGCAGGAGGAGGGCTGCGGTGAGTTTCTGTATCAACTCAAATCTGTTGAAATCTTTGAGATCCTCTCTGAGTAAGCGAGGGTTTTTAAGTTTGGATGCTCATTTCTGATCCAGGAAGTTCTTTGGGATCGCTGGGCTCCAGCGAACTGCTCCCCGACTCCGACTCGGACGAGGGCAGCCACAGCTCCTGCAGGCTGATGAAGCAGGAGAGCGTGGTGAGCACGGAGGACGAGCAGCTGAGCTACAGGGACAGCCTGGACCTGTCCAGCCACTCCGCCACCCACACCGACCCGGAACTGGACACAGAGCAGGATCAGGACAATCCTGAAGGAGACGGAGAGGGAGAGCCCCCCGCTGTGCCGGAGAGCGGTCCACCAGAGGAAGACGCAGCAGCAGCAGAGCAGGAAGTCGTGACTTCGCAGGCTGAGCTCAACGAGAGCCAGTCCAACAACAACAACAACAACCAGCTGAGATCCCCCATAGCCAGCCTGTCGGGCGTCCCGCTGGCCTGCCTGTGCAGAAAGAATATACCGCTGACGAAGAGGCGGGACACAGAGCCTGAGTTTGTCTGATCACAGGATTTTAAATTAAATCGACAGAATTGGACCGTCTGCGAGACACAAATAAATAAATTTGCTTTTATACATTAAAGTCAGTCGAGGACATGCAATGAGACTAAAATGAGTTTTTATTCCAGTTTTGTAAAAGGTCATGAATCTGGCAGAAACTTCTGCTCGCTTACTGCTCTTTTGAATTAACTCACTTAGAGGAATTTTATTTTGTGTACTTTTTTTGGCATTTTTGTAGTCCTACAAGCTTTATGTGAATATTGGTCAGATAAGTGTGTATTTAGTTCAACTACTGAATAGCTTTTAAAAGCTTCCTTTTTAAAGTGCTGTGAAATTTTAAACTTTAGTAATTTCTGACATGTTTTCCATCTGTCCCTGAATGTCTGACTTATTCTAATAAAAGTTGATTTTTATTTTTAAATGTTTCTCATGTGTTTCTGTTGAGCATTTTTCACCTATCAAATGAACCAATGGAGAGCAGGAAGTGCGTAGTTTCTGCCCCCGTCATGATGTCACTAGTCTGGTTTTAGGGAGGGCATAAAGAGGAAGTGCAAGAGACGAGGTTAAAAAAAAAAAAAGAATTCAGATCATTAGAAACTCCAGCCTGCAGCAGCTACAGCATGCCTTTTAAAAGGAAAAAGAAGGTAGGTACTCGCATTCTTGATGCAGCTCTGCACACCGGTAAAACCTTGCTTTAAATGAAAGACTCAGGCAACCGTATTTGAATTGACTTTATTTTACAAAAATCAGTAAATAACAAAAATGGAATCTGAAGAAGTTAAAAACAAAGAGAAATTCCATCCACAGGCAAAAATTGGATTTTATCCGTCCTGAATGCCGATTCAGAAGAACTAGAAAACAAAACAGACGTGTGTCAGATTCTGCAACTCAATACTGAAAGACCTAAAATACAAATGGATGGTTCAGAGTTTAAAAATGTATAATGTCTTAAGAGTTGTTTGGCGCACCTGTCCGTCACTGGACCAGCCTGTAGGTGATGTACCTGCCAGCCGTTTCACTCGGTCGAATGATTTTCACAACCTGTAAAATTCACAAAAAATAGCTTCCATTCGTTTTTATTTCTGTTAGGTTTCCATAACACTGCTGATGGTGTTTTGCATTTGTCCAAACATTTATTCAAATCAGACACCAGTACAGCTCATAAACATTCCAGTAAACAGAGAGCTCATTTTGAAGTGAGTGGCGGCTGATAATGAGGACATTTTGTGGTGTGCACTGTTAGTCTGCAGCTGCAGCTGTGAGAAAAACATTTGTACAAAACTAACTGGACCTTTTGTGCAGTTGATTAAATGTCAAAGCTGCTTTTTTATGATTTTATCTTGCTTGGATTTTCCCGTCACCTTGCTGGAGTTTCCCCACTCAGAGGTGTTGCAGACTATTTCTACTCGTATTTAATGCACTGTGCTTGTCTGTCTTGTCTGCGCGTTTACCTGTCCTCTCTTCAATCCAAAGTAGCGAGCCACGGGGTCTCCGGCCTGTATCCTTGGTAACTGGCTTTCCTTTAACTTACTAAATTAAAAGGTGTTAAGGCAAACAGAGGCACAAACAGAAAACAAAGCATCAAACCGGTCAGCACGTTGCAACGCACACTGCACAGGAAGATCGACCAGGATACTATCTGGCGAGAAGTTCAGTCACTTCCTCTTTCGTCATGACGATGTGCTCAGGAACAAGCTGAAGGTCAAAGACAGGACGCAGAACTGAAACCGCTGTTGTTTTTAGTTCATGTCAAAAAATAAAATAAAATAACTCATTGCTGTTCACCTCATGCTCTGTGATGTTAATGAGCAGCTCCTGCTGCAGAAACTGCTCCAATATGTACTTGGGGGCCATGTCCACTAGAGACTGCAACAAATATCAAGAAACAAATTTAGAAAAAAAAAAAAAAAACCTTCTCGCGCGAAGCGTCGCATGAGTGTGAAAGTTGTTCACCTGCTTGGCCGAGGGCGTCATGCCCATCTGAACCACAATGATGGCCCTGGTGATGTTCTCCTCCTGCATCCGCTGGCAGTACATTTTGATGGTCTTTATCCCCACTTTGGGTTCCTCTGGCGGGGACGACAAACACCAATATTTTCACCCATCAGATCAAACGCGTCTCAATTTCAAATAAAGCGATAATATTTACTGGGCCTCGTTTCTTTTCTGTTGAAGTTAGAATTTGAATACCTTTGCATCTTTCTCTCAGGAAAAGACTAGAGCTGTTTACACCTGATAGGACAGTTTGACGCATCTGGAAAGGAGGTTTTCCAGTTCATGAATATTAGATAAATCTGTCAAAAAATAGTATTGCATATCTCAATTTATGATTCAAGTCTTCTTGAGATTTCTTCTGTCACTTGAAATATGTAAAGGATGTAACTTCGTTTTTTTTTTTTTTTTTTTTGGTCAACTCAGCCGTTTCCTGGAATGTGCCAAGATCTGACCTGCTTATTTCTACTGGGGGGTTTTTGAGCTAGAACATATAAAGGAAAAGACATTTTGTAGTTCTTCTAATCCAAACAAATGAAGGAATTTTAAGATGATAACTTATTATTAAAATTATTATTATTATGCTGACAAAAGCAGTTGTGAATTAATAAGTAGAGGGTTACAAATTAACATTGTGTGTTTGTGCAGATAGTGGGAAGCAAGTATAACTTAAAGATATCAGTGGCAGTTCCTTCTTTGACAACTTATAAATGTTAAGATAATGTACAAAAAGTAGACAGAGTAAAATAATATTTAATACAAACCTTCAAAGGAATCTAAGAGAATTTCTGAATCCTTCAAAGTAAATCCAATACTTTGCACACTTTGCATACCGTTTAAAGACTGAACTGTGAACGCAAAATCTTACCGGGAAAGAAAACAAACATCTGGTCTGTGGGATCGTCGTTATGTGCCACCAGCACTGTGAGGTCAGTGCGTCTGGGTCGGCCTTCGCTGGGCTTGTCTCCGAACTGACTCTTGAACTCCTCCAGAGTCTGATCCAACTCGTCCTGTGTCACCAAGTAGCCTCTGTCATGGCAGAGCTGTGGGAGAATCAGAAGCAACGGTGGATTTATTTATTCAGATCAAGTCTGACCTTATCCATCACTTCAGGATAAGCTAATAGTCAAATAATGATGGTTAGTGGAGTCCAGGAACGTCACAGCGAGGATATTTACCTCAAACCGTATCGTCATTTTATCGGCCTTTATTTCATTAGGTTGCTACGTTCTCTGAAAATGCTAAATGTCAACAAGGAAAGAGTGTAAAACTGTATGAAACGCCGGAATTTCCACCGCGAAGAAGAGCTCTTTACTGAAACGAGCGACTCGCCAAGCTAACATGCTAAGGAAGATAACTTTCTAATATAGCGCACCTGCATGATGGTTTTGCGGATTTTCCACAGCCTGTAAGTTTCCTCCTCGTCATCCATATCGCATTAAAGAACCCAACTGAACAAAATGTACAAAAAGTATATAGTTATTTTTTTATTTTTATGGATAAGACAATTTTGATCCTCGTCTTAGAAGGCGACACACGCTTTCCATTACCAACGCAGGGTAATGACGTCACGTGCTGTGAGACGTGATACGCCAGTGCGTCTGCCATATTGTGAGTGGCAGCTTCGTATTGTTCGGAAACAGTATCTTGTTTCGTTTTCTTTTATATGCGGATGTTTTTTCTGGTTAAAAGGCTCGCAGAAGTTCACGTTCGAGTCATTTTATATTTATCTTGTGCTCGTAATACAGAAAACTCTTATACAGCTCCCCAATACACTTATGTTCCGTTCAGTTTTAGTTATAATCAGGGTCACGGTCTTTGCTATTATATTGCATTAATATTAATCATTATTATTGCAATATTGTTGCGAAGAAATATTAAAATGGTGTTATGTAAATAACTCATGACAGTCACAGTATGGCGGCGACGTTGACGTACGAAAGAGGCGCTTAAAGAACAATATTTGAATAAATACGGTAGATAGGTGAATTATTATTATTATGATTATAATAATAATAATCATAATAATAATAATAATAATAATAATAATAATAATAATAATAATAATAATAATAATAATAATAATAATAAGCTCCGCCCTCTGCAGCTCTTTCAGCGCTCAGCAGGGCGGAGTCACGGTCAGCTGCTTTGGAAATGGACCCCGTATTTGTTCAAAACTGCCCAAAATGAGGCCGTTGTATGTCTTTTTTGCAGTAGGGGCTCTGGTGGCCAGTGGGTCGCTGCTGGCGCTGATACTGTACTTTGTTTTACCCGCAACGGTAACGTAAAACTCTGATACGTGTTTCGTGTGCGTGAGAGTGTCAAATCTGCTTAATGACAAAGCTAACCTCCACAGCTGTAACACCACAGTTTCTGTTCGCTTGTTTTCCTTGGTGTCGTCACGCTGCGAGCCTTTGGTTTTCTGGTTGGCTTTGCCCCTGCACAGTTTAGAAGCTGTACTGCTCCTCCCTGTAAACAGTTTGCACAGACAGTGCACTTTGGCTTAGACAAATATTCAAACTAACAGGATTATACTTCATGACACTCAAGTCAATATCCCTCTTGCCCTCTGGGTCATGTTACCTGCTGATAACCTCCTCATTTATAAACACAGCTGCATGTGCCCTTTGTCATGTTGCATAACAGAATCGCAGAGTACAGATATTCAGACCCTTGTTTGTTTTCACATTCCAACCATAAATTTGAATGTGTTTTATCGCAGTTATATTTGATGGAATAAATTGCAATTGGAATGGCAAAAGGTTTTTCAAAGTAAAAATCCAACAGTACAGCTTTTCCAGTTGTATGCATTTTTCTGTATTAGTAAATTACTGTTATGAAATGGTTGAAAATTGCACCCATTTGATAATGGGTGCAATTTTGCTTCAACATGGTATAATAAAAATCCTTCTAAATCTTTTGAGCATGTTTCCAAATCAAGATAATTGAGCTTTTTCTTGTATAATGTTTTGCTTGGCACTCATGCTGCAGATTTCCCACGTCAGCTTGTGTACCGCTGCTTTAAAACATCTTGAAACACACACTCTTTTGTTGTCTAGGTTTACGATTTGGTTGCTTTCAAGCTCTGGCAATCAGATGATTCCCCAAACTTGACTGGTTTCCAGTTAGATTCTTTTAATTAAATCGCATTACACAAACAGACTGAGTGTGTTTGCTCTGACCACCGCTCTTTGCCCCGGGGGCCGCATGCAGCTCGGTTTTGCCTAGGATTATCAAAAAACTGAACTATGGACTGCAGGACACGTGCCCTTCTGATCTGGATTTATTTGTTTAGAACCAAGGAGTCACAGCTTGTCGTTTCTGTAAATCTGCGCCCTCCCCCTTCTAGATTGTGAACAACCTGGTGTGTGCTCTGTCTGTCAGTCTGAGGCTGTAAGCTTTAGTCACAGATCGCGAGGCGTAGGGAGCTGATTGTTCTTTCTGTCTTCAGAGGAACAAAGTAAGAGGCAGTCATGCGCCTGATAGGGTGCACAGTGCTGCTCTCTGTCCTGCTGCAGGCGATGGTAAGACAGAATCAAATTAGGGCTTAAATGGTGGATCTTATGCTCATTTTTTGTTCATAACTTTGCTGTTTTTTTCCAGTACTTGTACCCCTATTTACACATAGTTCGAAGTAGACATGCTGGCGTGGCTCTTGTATAATTTTGAACCCCTTTCTTCCAATAGTCTATCCCAACCGAGGATTGGCAGAGAGCTACATCCATCTATGAGTTTAACGCAACAGACATTGATGGGAATTTGGTGTCCCTTGAGAAGTACAGGTAAGTCTGATCATTTCTCTTCTAATGTGACAGCCACAGTATCTTTCTTTAATGTGTTTTTGTGTGTGTGTCTTCAGAGGAAATGTTGTCATCATCACCAACGTTGCCTCTAAATGAGGTAAAACTCCTGTAAACTACTCTCAGTTTGCTAAGATGCACGCCAAGTACGCTGAGAGAGGTTTACGCATCCTTGCCTTCCCATCCAACCAGTTTGGGAACCAGGTACGTTTAAATTCACTTCAATTGTATTGTATTGACGCACAGCTGTACTGCAACCCAAAAGAAAAAGTTTTTTAATGCTACAATGAATAGATTTTGATGACAGATTTTACAATTTACACAACTACAGTTTCTTATGAATGCGTTTGTTTTGGATCTTGCCTGTTAGTCAGCAGAATTATCCAGAAGCTGCCAGCTTTATGAAGCTCGGTGTAATATAAGAAGGTAAACAAAGAAAGATACCTTCAAGTCGGTGTAGGTTCAGGTTGTTAAGAATTAAAAAGATGAAGAACTTGATCTTAGCTCGTTAATTAATTCTTAGTCCCGAATTCCTGTGTCTGTGTAAGTGTGCAGAGAGAAAAGAGCAATCGTACGACGTCAGACTTCAGATATTCAGAGTTTTATCCAGAGAAAATCAATCCAAGAAGAACTTTACAATAAGCCTCTCACCTAGAGCAAAAGTCCAAGATATTACAAAACAGAGACAAAGAACTGAGTAAAAAAGACAACAGATTAACAGAAGATGCATCCTCCGGGAAAACTCTCACTCAGCACAAAGAGATTCCAACTTCTGCTGTGAAACAAACCATTTTTTATAGACTGCATATTCTCCTCATTTAAATATATGCATTAGGAGGTGTGTTCTTTTCCTTTGTGTGGGCTGTCTCAATGTTAATTTTATTACCTCCTGCTAAAGAGCCCCAAAAGCAGATACACGGCAAACCCTTCTCGTATCAGCCGCTGTCCAGTTTGATATATGATTGCAGCTGCAGCGCTATCTCTTCCTCAAGCTGTTTTTTACAAAAAAGTCGTTTGTATTTTAACCAAGCTTGCACACAATGTAATGCTAAATAATGACTATAAGTTTGGATCTAATAAGTAACTATTTAAAAACATGCTTAAAGAAATATAGTTAATTCTAATATAGATAAAATTATTTATAAAAAGTTTTAAGATCCTAGTGAACTTTTGAACCATGCTCAGGAATTTGTTAATTGCCTGGCATACAGGCTCCTTATCTCAAGAGATCCAAGGAGTCTAGGCCTATGTTTTCTGTTTCTTCTGTCTGATCCTCCTTTTAAGAATTTATCTGCGTTTCAGAGATTGAGCCGTTGTTTTTAGTTTCATCTAAATTTATATGAACCTAGAGTGTACTTTAACTTTCTATGTTATATTTATATGGTCAAAGCTATCCTGTGCAGTATTGTGCTAACTTAAAATTCTATGTCAACAAGGTCAAGAAAGAAGTCATTATAATATTTCTTGTGACTCAGGACTGTTCTGTGGCTGACAGTACCGGTCAGCAACTTGAACAGTCTTCATTAGCGTCATTGTAGTTTATAGTTTGGGAATCAATAACTTACTTTTTTCTGTTCTTTTTAAGAAATCTGGCACAAAATGAAAACATGAAAACCAGTTTCAATTGATATTTTTTTAAACTAACCGGTCTCCGTCATATCCGTTTTGCCTTCTGGTTTTTATCTGCAGGAGCCGGGTAACGAGACTCAGATCAAGCAGTTCGCCCAGGGCTACGATGCTCAGTTTGACATGTTCAGTAAGATCGAAGTGAACGGTGAGAACGCTCACCCGCTGTGGAAGTGGATGAAGGAGCAGCCGCACGGGAAGGGGACCTTCGGAAAGTACGTTGATTAAAAAAAAAAAAAAAAACTACTTCAGTAAAAGTTGGAGACCAGTTAATCACAGCTGCAGATGATCATGTTTCGTAACATCAACTTTAGTACCAGGGATTTATTTAAGCTGAATTGAAGGTCAATCAAATGAGAAATGATTTTTCTGACATGCCTGTTTTGTCAATCCTGCAGTAGCATCAAGTGGAACTTCACTAAGGTAATCCCAACTAATTGTCTCCTCTTTTTTCTAAAGTAATAAGAAAACTCTTTTACTACTTAACTGTTCTGGGTTTTTCTAAGTTACTTTGTGTTTTCTATTTTTTTTATTTTTTTTGTGCCTAGTTTCTGATCAACAAGGAGGGGCAGGTGGTGAAAAGATACGGACCCCTGGATGATCCAAGTGTACGTACAAAATCCTGTTACTGAATTGATCTGATCTGTCAGGCTTGCAGGAACCTTGATCAAATTTCTGTGACATTATTCATAGGAACTGGAACATTTCCAGATGACATTTTACTCTTTCTTTGTTTCCAGGTGGTGGAGAAGGATCTTCCCAAATACCTTTAATACACCCCAATCATTCCTCGACTACTGATGCCAGGCTTATCATATTGCATCTCCAATGCTTCCTTTCGTGTCTCTACCTCTCCAAGAACCGATTCATATGGTTACGGTCCGTCCCAGACCAGTGACGGTCTGTTCCAAAACCCGCATTGCGGACAGGACAGACCTGATGAAAACGGCGTGCCAACCTTCTGGAAGGATCTCAAAACTGATATGAATCTGGTTCACTGGAGAGACAGAGACAAGGTTTCCTGTGCACATCAATAATTCTCTTAATCTATACAAAGAGATTCCTTTTTTTTTTTTCCTTAATAAATTTGCTCAGATCCAAATTGTAGTTTTTGTCTAGTGTTGCCTTTTTCACAACCGGCCAGAGATCAAAAAGGGCCCAAAGCAGAATTTTATTGGGGGCCATATTTACAGCTGACGCCATCACCAACACACTAACATTTTTTATATAGGGCTTAATCGATTACAAATTCCGCAGATAAAACATGCCAACTGTGTGTAGTCGACATTACTTATTAAATAACTACCACTGAATGACGGCCATAGATGGCAATATTGGCACTTTCTCAGGACGCCAACTTCTGGAGGGAGCGCTGCCGCGAGAACTAAAAAAACGAACCCTTACAAGAAATAGAAATAAATGACAGCAAGAAAATGTTGGCTGACTGTCTCTGTTGTAAAAAATAAAAATTCAAACATATCAGTGAAACAAATGAACACAACTGAAACACTTCACTGATAAGGAAATATTAAAATTTTTCCAGTTTCTTAAAGTTTTTATTTTCGTGTGTATCTTATGATTATAGATTAATTTTTTAATATTTTCCACAACTTACAATTTCGCTAAATAGTACTGGCTTATTGTCTCTTTATAGACTGAAGTTGGCATTTAGTTTGTAGCCTCTGTAAAAACAGTTTCACCTATTTATCTTTGGAGTTGAATTAATAAAATGAATCACATTCTTGCCTGATAGCGGAACAATAATCTACCAGTTTAGGACGTGTTGGACAGTATTTCCTCTCCGAATAGGTCAAATGAAAACAATTCTAGGTCAAAAGTAAATTAATAATTGCTTTTAAAAAGCTCATAAATAAATGTTTTTGCTCCAAACCAGGCTCTGAATGTTTTTTAGTTTACTTACAGCTGGGTTCTCACTTTCTGTGAATGAATGGTTAAATGGGTGCCTGTTAAATGTGTAGAGGGAAGAGTTTAAAACTGCTTGACTATATTTTAGAAAACAGTTAATAGATTTCTAAAGCCTTGGTAGGACACCAGGATATGAAACAGAAATCTTTGTGGGCAGAACTTCTGTATCTAGAAGCTATACATTTCCCATTTTGAATATAGTGACTTGCAACATATAAAAAAACCGTGCATGTAGAATGCAATGATAGCAACATTTTTAGAATCTATTTAATTCCTCAATTTGACCAATGAGAATATCATCTGTGAAAGGCTGTGCCATCCCAGTTGTACTGTACTGTTATTGATATTGTTAATGTGAGGAGCTGCAGCTCTGAGATTTTCCAAATCTTAACCTGGAAAAACAGCTAAAAACTGTTTGAACTGTACAAAAACCTTCTTGTGTTTACTTGAGTTATTAGAATCACTTTACTTCAATCCACAGTGCAGTTTTCTGATGGTCTTTTTATAAAAAAAAAAAAAAGTCAATGAATAAAGTTAAAGATGCCACTAACTCCAGGATTCACACTGAAAATGAGTTCCTGGCTGCAGTTCCCCCACACGCCTGCAGATGGAGCCAGAGCTCCTTTATCAGCACCAACCGGGCACCAGCAGCGGGAGCTGCTCAGTGGGCAGCAGCAAGTGCAGCCGAGACAAGCGGACTCTACGCTGCTTCGTGAGGGAACACGGCACTGATGAGGGGACCGTCGCCGACAGCCGTCTCACAGTGCTCCTGGTGATTACCGCGACACATCCATCGACGCGTCGTTCCGCCGGGATTTCACCGCCGCTCAGAGGGTCTGTCTTTCGGAGGACGTGCCTGTTTTCTGTTTCCTCCGGGAGGCTGAATGGAAGCAGCAGCCGAGGGAGCGGTCGGGCTGTCGGAGGCCGGGGAAGGGAGCCCTCTATCCGGGGCCACAGCATCCGATGATGGGGAGACGGTAGTGGGAGTCAGCTACGGGATGGACGCCGCAGACATGGGTATTTCATCACGCATTCATTCACCTCCCCTCCTCTGTAATGTTCGCTTATTTCCCCCCGTATTCTTGCCATTAGTTAGATTTTTTGTCTTTCTGCCGCTGTGAGCAGAAAGTCCCGACTCATCTCCGCTAGCCTCAGGAACTGGGAAGCTAAGCTAGCAGCTCGGCGCTGGGAGAGGAGAGCAGGTGAAGTTATGAACAAGCAGTTCTTTGGCAGTGGGCAGCGTGTCGTCTGCGTGTCCCGAGCGCCGAGAAACACACAGCAAATCACGGGCAAGATTAGACGAGCAAACGGCCGGTATTATGTATTTATGAGCTGATAAACGCGCCAGTAAAGCTGGGAGAAATAAAACACAGACAGAGGCGTTGCTAGGATATGAGAGCACCTCTCCAACAGGGGCTGCATGTTTCACTCTGCTGCTTCTTGTTAATTAGAAAATATGTATATATATGAAGAAGATCATTCTATCATGAACTGTACAAGCCACTGCATTGAAAACGAACCAAATTTGTGTTATTTTCCCCAGATTCACTTCAGGGTGAAATATGCCCCGCTTTGATTTAACACAGCAGGGTTTGAATTTGAGCCATAGGTTCAGATTTTCAACCCAAAACACTTGATGAAGTAAAATGAATTATTTTTATCCACCTCATTCTGTACATCTTGCAGGATTGCTGGTTGATGTTGCCTAAACTGAGGCCACATCAGTTGAGCCTGTCCTCACTTAAGGACAAGCTGCGTTCAATTGGACTCAAAAGTTAGAGCTCTGGGATGTTTCGGGTCCAAGTTGGAAAACAGCCTAACCTTCCAGGTTGGAGCTCCGACTTGAGGAGGTGTTGCTGCTTTTCTGACGTCTGAGCATGAAGTGAGAAGTGACAAATTTTGTTTTTGCATGGTGGAAGGACGCCAGAGTACCCATAAAGAACCAATGTATACCCAAGGAGATCATGCAAACCTCACACGGAAAGTCCTGCATCGTCTCTCAGTGAGGCAACAGTGTGGACATTTGCGCCACCCTCCCTGAAAACGAATCATTTTCATGTTTATTATAACCCAGCAAAAAAGAAAGTGAGCTGTGGTGTGTAATGTCACAACAACATAAACCCAAGGTTTTTTTTTTTTTGCGAAAGAACTCCCCACCCCAGCGGTTTGTACATTGTAAAATATAATGGGTTTATTGGGAGTTGGGGTTAAGGTTTTATGCTTACTGCAGCCAGGAAAAACCGAAGCTAATGCACACTTTACAGGTACACTGTAAAAATTTAATTGTAGGGGTTTGCTCACGACAAACCAGCTAGAAACACCAGAAAAAACAACAAACGGCTGCTCACGGTAGCAAAGGCAGCTCCTTGGAAGAAGAAAGACAAACGTAATAATTAATTAAATGTAAGCTGTGACTTTACTATCCACCATAATTCCTGCATATTGTTCTTTGGCTTCTGTAATCCTCCTCTTTGACGCTCACAATATTAAAATGTTTCATTTTGGGGTTTATACTCAAAAACGTCAGCTCCTACATGTTTATCAGCTTGCCGTATAACCTTCAGATCTACTGATGGAAAAAAATATTTTTTGTCACTATTAATTCTGTTGTTGGGCTGCTCATTCCAAGCTGCATAGTCAAAGCGTATTCTTAGGCATTATTTAGAGATAACTCAGCGGCAACTGCAGTGAAAATAAAATCAGCTACCCCCTGCAGGGGACCTCCACAGCACCCTCATAATGAGAAATGCCTGTGCTTGGTGATGAGATTTGGGGAAGAAACGCTTCTGCTGCAGGTTTCTGATACATATTATGCATGTTAGGAATCAGGTAAAATCATGAGGAGTCAGGTAAGATGAGGTCTGTTTGTGCTCAATTCAATGAACAAAAGCAAACAATGCATTTGTTTTGCTATGAGAGAAGCCCAGATTCTAACTGAAGCTGTTATTCACAGCAAACAGAGACCTGAAGTTTTGTTCTCAATAGTTTTCTAGATAAGAATCCATGGTTTCTTGTAACTTCTAATTTGAAAGGAAGACGAATCAGTTTGTTGTTGTTGATGTTTGACCGCTCTTAGCAACAGAGTTGGAGGAGTTCATTTGACATGGTTTGTTTTCTGAGTTGCACAAGGCAAAGTCCTTACATTTTCCGTGAGGGTGAGGTGGGAAGTGTCTCCGAAGTTTCGTCTTGGCATTGTTTATTCATCCGAAAGTCATCTTGGATGTCTGAGGTCTATCTGAAGTATCTGAAATAAACTGTCACTCTCTGGATGAAGAAAATTTGCCATAACATCCAAAAGAATCCGGAAACCACCAACGATCAAGTCAGTCACAAACTGGAAGTGGTTGAAATACCATTGTCACAAGAAAACCCTGCTTTAAAATTCAGACCCAAAAGCAATGGTGAAGTTTGAAGCTGACAATCATCCAAATAGGTTCTGGTAGAAGGTTTTGTGCTTGGAGGATTGAGCTATGGAAGCCAGATTCTCAAAGTATGTTTTTACTGAAGAGTCAAAGTGAGGGTTAGGGCTTTTTGAAATCTAAGAAAACACCGTCCCAGCTGTCAGGCATGGTGGTGGTAGAATCATTCTGTGGGTTTGTTTCGCTGCCAGTGGCACCCTTGATGTTTGCCTGGTAAAAACAAGCCCCATATTTTATGGTTTGCTTGCACAGAGGATCTGAACCTTTGGCTATTGAGACACGGTTGCTTACTATAGAGGCATGGATGCTGTGAAGTGATTCAGTCAAAAGAAGCACAGAAAAGGTATTTAAGAGAAAACTACATTTTCCACAACACGTCTGTTGCAGGTACGTCTGCAGCTCATTCAGGTGTAGAGAGAGCGAGTACGGAAACATTGCTCTGTTTTATTCTTTGAGCCCCCAACTTCTGTCTGTCATGAAACAGGTTGGGCTTTGAAATCGGTTCGGTGGAACGGAACGGGAGTTTTCATAGCCAAGGTCCTTCCTGCGTTTTACATGATTATCAAAGCCGTTACCGTTCACTCAGCTCGTGACGGCACTCGACATGAGCATGTGGTTGACATCAGGTCCTTCTCATGTGTAATTATGACTTTGCTCTGAACGTGTGAATGCAGCAGTGAGTAAGAGTCACAGCTGGCTGTTTAAAAAGTTGCCGGGGTATTTAGACCTCCTCAAAGGCTTCTGCTCCTCAGGTGGTTGCAATTTGTCCCTTTTGTGTTCTGCCAGCGTTGACAGCATGAACACCTCTGATCTCACAAACCCCACTGACAGCTTCACCTCCTCTCACCTTCAGCGTTATAAACTCTCCTCTCTTTTACTCCCTGCATCTTGTCCACCTCCTCCTCGGTGAGCGACTCCCTAAACTCTGCCTCTTACTTCTCACATACAAGGGAGAAGTAAGAGGTGTTTTTGTTTTCCTCCTTAGCCTTGGTCTGCCAGAACTGCTGACAGAAGCACAAAGATGCCACAACATCCATCTGCTCACTCCTCCTTCCGGTCCTCCGTCGGTAAGGTCTTTGTGCGCGCTCCTTGTCATCTTCGAGGCTACACTCACCAGGATCAATTTGCATCCAAGCGGCTCATTCCAAGGAGCATGCACTGGGAGTTTTGTCCGTATGCCAGGGCATGTGACGTCAGAATACTTGACGTAGACGATGACGCGGTTCCTTTACATTTTTTGTGCTCTGTTTTTCAGTGTAAGTGGGGGGATGTGTGCTGCAGACAGGAACCAAAGAGAGGCGAACCAGTAGGAGCCACACTTGACCTTTTTCAGCTTTTGATGCACAATGATCCGATGTGAAAAAAGGATTAAAAATCAGAAAGAAGAGAAAGTGAATAAAACTGGCTGTATTAATGTCTGTTAAGGGGACTTTGCAGGTTTGAAATGCACCCCCACTGAGGCTCCGGCTCAGTTTTTCACTCATAGATGGCTGCACTGTCACGACTTCCCTCGAGGGGAAAGACAGTGAAGGCCGGCTGTTTTCAATTAGGATAGTTACTTGCCCACTGTGCAGGCTATTATTATTTCATAAGAAGCACCTGGAGCACAAGAGCATTCACACAGGAGCACAAAGACTGTTGTTTTATCTGAACAACCCACAGAAAATTCAAAGTAATTATGTGAGTGTTGCCTGCTCACAACCTCACTTGGTCATGGTCGTGTTTTTCAGCCCTTAGACTGTGAACTGTACCTCGTACCTCATGTCTCGGCCACTTGATGCAAAGTAAAGATAGGCTTAAGCTACGAGAGAGAGTATAAGTCTATCTTTGATGAGCGCACATTGTTTGTACAACTTTTCATTTGTCTTTGTGGTTGTAAATCTTGACGATTGGAGTCATTCCCATCGCAACGTTGTCAAGATAAGTATGCATGAAAAGTTTGAAAGATGGAAAATGAGCACAAACGGCGAAAGGTCAATTGTAATTTATCGAGGCTTTCTACTTTCAATATTTTTTAGTTTTTCTTGCTCTAAAATATATCTACTCTGCCTTTTGATCTGCATTTCTAACCTTAAGGGAACGTTTTCAATCTCATTAAGGTCCAGCTTTGCAAATTTGAAAAAGTTTCTGGTTTTGTTACATTGCTTTGAAGTTTTCAACTCTTGCTCTTACAAGGATTATCTTTGACTTCTCAACAACATACTAAGATGCATCACCGGTCGGCTAAACCAAACCTTCAGATGTTCACGGGAATCTTCGACTAAGTCTGCCTGTTTGGACTGCAGCTCTGCTGGCAGTGTTGAGGGCTCATAGAGAGAAAGATGCTGCGGGGTTCATGTATGTTTAATATGATCTGAGCAGTGACAGAAGATGTTCATTCATTAAACAGTGTGGGCCTAGTTGGCAAGTTTAGTCTTCTCGTATTTCGTGCGACGGTGCTGTGGATTGGGAGAAAAGAGCGACACAGATCATTCTACTTGTTCACGCTTCAGTGGGGATATGATTCGTTTTCTCGGGTCTCCGGTCCGCTTGGCATTCACATTTGCATTCCGAGTCCGAGGTTTTCAGACAAACTAGAGTTCACGCCTCACAAAACAA